CTGGAATTTACTAATTTGATCTTTAACACTGACGCTAAACATCTTAAAATGATTGATAAGACAAATACTCCCTCTGATCCATATTAATTGTCGCAGATTTAGTACTCAATCATTGACAACTAATATGGATCAGAGGGAGTACCACATTTTTTGGCACTGACGTCTTGGTCACAACCGAAAGAAATGCAAGAAGAAACTTCATAGTGATGGAATTTTGGAGTCTTTTGATTTTCAATCATTTGGCAATTGAGAGTCTTGTCTGATGGAAAAAATTATTAAGAAACCGTTCACCGGCCATATGGAACATGCAAGTGACTTATTGGAAATCATACATACTGATTTGTGTGGTCCAATGAGTGTACCAGAGCATAGTGGGTTTCTCTAGTTTGTAACTTTTACCGATGATTTAAGTACATATGGGGTTATATTTACTTAAGGAGACAGAAGTATGGAACCTTTGAAAAGTTCAAAGAATTTCATAAAAAGTAGAAAATCACAGTAACACTAAAATTAAATTTCCATGATCAGGTCACGGGCAAGAATATTTGATTTACAAGGTTAGCGGGAATCTTAGATATTGTGGAATTGTTTCACAACTTACGCACCAGAACACCGCAAAGGAATAGTGTGCATGAGAGTCGTAATCGAACCCTATTAGACATGGTTCGACCTATGATTTCATTAACGAAACAGACACTATCTTTTTGGGGTTATGCTTTAGAACCCGTTGCGTTAACACTAGATAGAGCTCCATCAAAGTTTGTTTAAACGACGCCATACGATAAATGGAATGGGAAGAAACCTAATTTGTCTTCCATATGTAAAACATTTAAAATCAAATAAGGTTGATCCCAAATCGAACAAATGCTACTTTCTAGGTTATCCCAAGAAAACAATGGGGTATTAGTTCCACCACCAAACTGAAGGCAAAGTGTTTGTCATGAAAAAAAGAGTACTGAGAAGAATTTCTCATGAAAGAGTGAGTGGGGGACAATACAACTTGACGAGATTGTAGAACCTTTGACGTCAAATCAAAGGACCGTACCACCGAAAGTTATTCTTGAGGTCACTCATGCGATTGAACTGGAAGCAACTACATGTGTTGTAGAAATTTCGGTCAAGACTGTGGCTGAACCACGTAGGACACGAAGAAATCGTTCTCAACCTCTGAGGTATGAGGATGAAATTTTATTGTGTGAAAATGAAATATTTTTACTAGAAAATGATGAACATGTGAATTACAAAGAAGCAATTGTAGGCCCTGACTACAGGAAGTGGTTCAGTGCCATGAAATATGTAATAGAATCCATGTACGAGAATCAAGTTTGAAACTTGGTTGATCCACCAAAGCATGTGAGATCAATAGAATGTAAATAGGCTTATCTATTAAAAAAACGCAAATGAAAATGTATCCGTCTACAAAGCTCGACTTATCGCAAAAGGTTTTTGAAGAATTCAATGAGTTGACTTCAACGAGACATACTCGCATGTAGGAATGCTTAAGTCTGTCCGAAGGTGAGGACCCCACATGTCGTAGGAGCAAAAATATTCAGAAAAGCTAACTGGGAGGGCATGCCATTTCGAACGTGTTTTTCGTGCCAGTTTTAGTTGTATCAAGGGTGATAGTTTCTTGAGAATAACGTGACATTTTCTACGAGGATGATAGTTTTAAGCCTTCATTTAAGAAAATGTCATGTTATTTTGAAGAAACTTCCATCCTTGATCAAACAAAAATATCATCAAAACGTTTACAAATGCCACCCCTAGTAACGAACGGTCGCCAGATAGGAGGTCCATGGTACTCTGGCGCACGAACGTGAAACATGAAACGGCGAGGAGGGGTGGTAGGAGTACCGGAGAGCAGACATGCAACAGTGGGCACGATCCGAGGTCGCGTATAGCCGCCTCCACCGCACCACGTGCAGCATCTCTCAACATTTGCGCGCGCAAGCAGTCGGCAGATCCTAGTCAATGCCAGCCACCAGCTGTACCACATCATTCCGCATCGCCAAAAACAAAGCAGAACGATCTACTCCGTCAGTAGGCCGTATTCGCGTCTCGCTAAGTACGTGCGTGCGCCCACCGTCGGGCCGCCGGCCGGCCAGTCAGATCACGCGAGGTGCAAGTCAACAAGACCGGACCTAGCCATAGTTAACCTTTGCTCCACGTCAAACTAGTCACCAGGCACACGGCAGTCTGTACCAGTAGCAGTACCGGCGCCCGGCGGTACAGATCGATATGTGCAAGTAGGAATTCGCTGGTGCTCCGTTCCGTGCTGGGGTTTCCGAGGCCAGCGAAGGAGACTTTCAAGCATCGGCATTGGTGTTGAGTGCAGACAAGCTATGATATGTGGGATGGCCGCCATCTCAAGCAAGCACGACGGTGGACCAAATCCCATCACATCATACACACGCACAGTGACACAGGCCATGCCATGCACACACGCCAAGCTCCCCAGCGCACCCTCTGCTGGCCATCCGTCCGAGATAAAACAAACCATCGATCGGTCCAGTGATGGTCTGCAGCTATTCTAATGCCACCGGGCGTTCCTGGTAGCCTGGCTGCTTTACCGGCTTTGGTTGGAGCTCAACTGGAAGTAGTACGTACGGTCACGACTTACGAGCGAGCTGAATGCAAACCCTGCACGCCAAGGAAAGGCTACTGCAGGTTTGTACATTAGCTAGCTGCCTCGTCATTGACATGATGAAAGAGCCAGCACAGCGGCGCATTACATTTATATGCATGCCAAGACGCTACTGTGAGATTCTGAGAACTGACAACACATGCATGTAGGCAAACAGATCAGATTGAAGGAAGTGCAACAAAAAACAAACAGATTAAAGAAAATTAGGGCATGCGTGCGTGCATGCATTACCTGACCGCTACCGGCACCGGAAAAGAACTATACTTGGTCCACCAATAAGTCTGCACGTATTGCAAACTGAGTGTATAGATTTCTTGTGGTGGAACTAGCTCGCCAGAGTATAAGTTTTAGACTTGACATTGATAATTGCACTGATGCTTCTATCTTCATTCAGTGGGAGGAGAGATGTTTCTCTTCAACTACGAAGCGCCTATAAATACTTTGTCAACCTCAAGATATTAGACCGACATAGTATCTCGAAGATATTCATAAGAGTAGGGTATGCATGCTTGTGTTAATAGGGTGCGTGTATGTGAGCATTGCTATTGTATTGTATTAAAAAAAAAGGTCTGCACATATTTGAGTAAGAAAAGAACATGTTGACCTATATGCACATGAAGTTCTTTAAATTGAGCCATGCAGGAGAGTGCCTATATGTGGAGTCATTTTTCGTGTTTAAATTTCTTTGGCCCATCAACCAAAATCGTTGCATGCATGAACAAAAACCAACTACTGTCATTCGCAAAAAAAAAAAAATTCCTCGATTGACATTTTAGCTTTACTCGAAAATGAAATCTTCTTATGACATGCTTCAGAATTATTTTTTAAGACAATCATATTATATACTAACTCCGTCCCTAAATATATGCCGTTTTGGTAGGCTAAAACTAGCCTTCCAAAACGACATATATTTAGGTATCGAGGGAGTAACATATATGCATCTTTTTTGCGGCACAATATAGTACATATACTGTATATGCACATAATACTGCTACATATGGAGTGTAGACATGTATGGATACAGTAACTTGGTATGTCGTTTCCATCGCAAGTTCTGTAGATACACTAATTTCAATTTGTCATATCAATGTACAGTTCTACTTGAGCAAAATAACCAATTGCCAAAACAAATCAGTTAACTAGTGAACAATGATAAAGACGTGACTTAACTAGCTTTAAAAAAAGATGTGACTTAACTATCAGAATTGACATGCACGCTTGCACAAATGCATGCCATATCGACACCGTGCCAGGCTCATATGTGTCATTTCCGAGCTAATCAGTTACAAAAACTTTATTTTGGCCCCAATATGATTGTAAACCCTTTTCAGCTTAAAGAATTGATTCAGAACAACTTGCTCCAGATTCAAAAGGTTGGAGGGAAAATGAAGACACATACTCACATAATGTGAGATCCCCAAACTTTCGATGTTAATTGACCTATGTACAGAGGAGAAGATGATGAAGATCTGTAGTGCTGTAGTACTGTTAATCAGGTATGACTCATGAACATGCTGAAAATGCTAGCTTACACGCAAATTCATATCAATCATTGAGAAATTCATGGAATCAAATAGCTAAGGAGAAAACGACGGATTTTATTGAGTGCAAGCTAGCACAACAATAAACTCGCGTACTGCTTAACAAAAATAACCATGTTGAAATATATACACGCATGCAGATGCAGTGCTAAACACTCATCACAAAAGAACAAAGAAAACAAATACTGTCGATTATTCTATTTCCAACTTCCAAGCCTAGCAACTACTTCCTTCGTCTAGGTGTGTAAGTCATCTTACGAAAACCAAATAATCCCAAAACACTTAGGCACGGTGCATTAATTTGTACTTCGTTTCTTGTTTATTGACATATCAACCAATAAGAGATGATGGGTGTGCATGCTTTTAATGACTTGAGACTACTAAACACGACATGCAATGGTTAGTTCATTGCATGCAATGCTATTAATTAGCAAATAAACATTAAGGTCTCTCGTTTTCTTATCCTCCTTGGTCACGGTGCACAGCTTAAGATGACTTACTCACCTAGACGGAGGAAGTAGTGTCAGTTAAAGTGTTAGCTCTAAGCTTTTTATTTTACAAATCAATCAATTATAATTAAATCAACCAAGCAATCACATTGGATGAGTGGACACGCACAAGAAATTTATGAGGGCAGATACATCGATCACTGGACAATCTTTTTCTCACCCAAGATATCCACAACAGCTATATCTAGTTCTAGAGAAGATACATGTATAGAGAGAGTTATACTTGCACATAAAGTTTATTTGGCGAGTTAATTAATCAATTGTGATCTCCATCGATCACCAGAACCGCGAGTAAATCCATGCATGTCAACCAAAGTATGCATCATGCTCACTTGTGTCGAGGGAGCTGTAGTCGGTGCTCGATGGCTGTCCGGCAGCGTACGCCGTGGCCGTCGACGGCATTGTGTCCACTTCTTGGCCGGCCTCCGCCACGGACACCACGCCAGCGGTGTGCACCAGCGACGTGGCAGGAGCCATGAAGCCGCCGGCTGCGGCGGCACTGACGTCGTCGTCGACAATGAGGTTTGCCGCGCCGACGCCGACGCCGATGCCGGTCTGCCGGTACCTGTGCTTGAATATCTCGGCCCTGACGGCCTGCAGCTCGGCCTCCAGCGCGTTCACCTGCTGCTGCAGCATGGAGATCGCGCCCATGCAGCCGTACACCGGGTCGCCCAGCCGCAGGTTCGCCTCGTACACCAGGCTGCTCGCCGCGTCGGCTCTCTCCGGCTCGGGCACCTCCTGAAACAGCGCGTGACATGCACCGACGTACGCCATTAATTAACACAAAACACGGGCGGTGGAATTAACAAAAAAAAAGGAAACCATTAAAATAGTTTGATGGTACCAGGAGCATCTTGGAGACGTTGCTGGCGCCGAAGACCTTGTGGACGGCGGCGAACTTGTGGGGCTCGTGCGGGGAGAAGTAGGGGGCGAAGGGGCACTCGTGCGCGCAGCGCCGGCGGAGGAGCTTGCACGCGGCGCACGGGGTCGCTATGTTCGCGGCGCCGCCGATGCCTGGGCCAACGAGGCCTAGGCGGCGAGGGACGTGGTGCTCGGTCTGTGAGACGGCGACTACGACGCCCGCGATGGCGGAGGCGGGGTCCGGCTCTCGCTTGATCTTCTTACCGATCTCGTCGAGTCTCTCCCTGGTGGAAGTCCAGAAGATCATTAGGGTTTATTTTGGATGGAATTAAGTAGCGGGGATCTCAAAGCGCGCGATGCAGACCAAAGTGCCAAAATTGTGGCCGCAAGAACAGGAAAAGGAACTGCTATCATAGATCTCTCGATAAACCTTTTAGGCAAAAGTCATATATAGATAGAAAAAACACATCTAAATTAGATTATTCTGACCGGAAAGGATAATCAAAACAAACAAAGGGAACCTTTATTTTAAAAAAAATCAAGTACAAGCATCGAAGCAGCATGGTTCTTGAGGGTCACTTCATTACCTCTCCGTGGACATAGAGGCATGCTCTCCTCCTCGCCTGGGAGACGGAGAGACGGAGGACACAGGAACGATTGAGAGCGAGGGGGAGTAGAGAAGTGTAAAGTTTGGAATTGCGAGGAAGGAAAGAGTGCTTAAAAGGCAAGGCATTAATGAGGGGGATGGGCGTAAAGCATGCACACAATTGGTAGTAAGTAAATGGGCGAGGGAGGAGGAAGAAATGTTGGCAAGCCAAGCCAAGGAACGTTGACTCGATTAGTTGGCCGGCCCTCCCTCCCTCGTGCCCCTGCGCCCTGGTGCTTCTGCTCATGTCAAGGGAATGAAAGGAATGCTGTTGAAAACAAGAAGCTGCCTCCACTTGACCATTTTACCTCCGTTACAATTCATAGTTCGATGGTTCTAACATAAAATGCGAGTAAATAAACAAAAATAAGGGGAGTCGGCAGATGGCTCTCCTCTCTCCCTCCCCTCTGCTCCCCGCGGCGGTGGCCGGTGGTGTGCCCTCCCCCACCTCCTCTTCTCCCTCCCCGTGCCCCCCTGGGTCCATCGGTCCGGCCTCCCCTCCCTCTCTGCCTTGTCGCTTCCGTCGTCTGCGGTGCTTCCTGTCAACCGCTTCTGTGCCCTCGATTCGGATGGCACCGAGTCGGAGGATGAGGAGCTTGCGGGTTCGTTGCAGGCACCGGGCCAGTCGTGCCTAATACGTCTTCACCGTATCTACTTTTCCTAACGTTTTTGCTCTTATTTTGAACTCTAATTTGTATAATTTGAATGAAACTAATCCGAACTAACGAGGTTTTTAGCAGAACTACCATGGTGCTGTTTTTGTGCAGAAATAAAAGTTCTCAAAATTGGAGAAACTTTTTGAAGAATTATTTTGAAATATATAAAAATTACTTGAACCAAGACCCACTGGAGGGGGGCCCAAGCTGCTCACTAGGCACCAGGGCGCGACACCCCCATCTGGCGCGCCCTGGTGGGTAGTGGGGCCCACGAGGCTCCGTTGACCCTAATTCCAACGTTATAAGATCCTATTTTTGGAGCAAACAATAGGAGAGGAAGTTTCACCACGTTTCACGATACGAAGCCGCCGCCACCTTCTGTTCTTCATCGGGAGGCCAGATCTGGAGTCTATTCAGGGCTCCGGAGGGGGCGATCTTCCGTCTTCATCATCACCAACCCTCCTTCATCACCAATTTCATGATGCTCACCGTCGGAAATGAGTAATTCCTTCATAGGCTTGTTGGACTGTGATGGGTTGGATGAGATTCATCATGTAATCGAGTTAGTTTTGTTAAGGCTTGACCCCTAGTACCCACTATGTTCTAAGATTGATGTTGCTATGACTTTGCTATGCTTAATGCTTGTCAATAGGGCCTAATATCTACTATGGAACTTTATTCTTGTAGACTCGTGTTGGGTCTTCAAGCACAACGTTTTGTAAGATAGCAACAAATTTCCCTCAAGTGGATGACATAAGGTTTATCAATCCGTGGGAGGCGTAGGATGAAGATGGTCTATCTCAAACAACCCCGTATCCAAATAATAAAAAGTCTTTTGTATCCCCAACATGCCAAATACAATAGTAAATTGTATGGGTGCACTAGTTCGGAGAAGAGATGGTGATAGAAGTGTAGTAATGATAGTAGATATTGATTTTTGTAATAGTAACAACAAAAAACAGCAAGGTAACGAATAGCAAAAGTGAGCACAGATGGTATTGCAATGCTTGAAAATGAGGCCTAGGGTTCGTACTTTCGCTAGTGCAATCTCTCAACTATGCTAATATAGTTGGATCATATAACCATCCCTCAACGTGCGATGAAGAATCGCTCTAAAGTTCTTATCTAGCGGAGAACATAAGACGGAATTGTTTGTAGGGTACGAAACCATCTCAAAGTTATCCTTTCCGATTGATCTATCGAGTTACCCCTATAAGTGTCACAAACAGCCCAAAGAGTTCATACTAAAATAACACCATATGATACACATCAACCAAATCAAATGTCACCTAGATACCAATGTCACCACAAGTATCCGTGAGTTGATTATACCATATGCACCAAACAATTTCTCATTCATAATACTCAATCCAACACAAAGAACTTCAAAGCGTGCCAAAAGATTTCTATCAGAGAAACAAGAACAAAAACGTGCATCAACCCGTATGCATAGATTGCCCAAATGTCACCTCAAGAATCCGCGAGTTAAGTGCCAAAACATGCATCAAGTGAATCAATATGATACCCCATTGTCACCACGGGTACTCATAGCAAGACATACATCAAGTGCTCTCAAATCCATAAAAGTATTCAATCCGATAATAACGAAATCTCAAAGGAAAAACTCAATTCATCACAACAAGATAGAGAGGGAGAAACACATAGCTACTAGTATAAACCCTCAGCCCTGAGGGTGGACACAAGTTCGCGATACATCAAGTTCGTGCCAAATCAAGAACACAAGAGAGAGAAATCAAACACATAGCTACTAGTATAAACCCTCAGCCCTGAGGGTGGACTACTCCCTCCTCATCATGGTGGCTGTCAGGATGATGAAGATGGCCTCCAGTGATGATTTCCCCCTCCGGCAGGGTGCCGGAACAGGTTCTAGATTGGTTTTTCGTGGCTGAAGAGGCTTGCGGCGGTGGAACTTCTAGTCTAGGGTAACTTTCGGGGGTTTCTGAATATATAGGATTTTTTGGCGTCGGTTTCATGCGAAGATGGGCCTCAGGTGGCCCACTACCCACTAGGGCATGCTAGGGGGTGGCGCACCCTGGTGCCTTGTGGTTAGCAAGGGGCCCCTCTGGTAGTTCTTTGCTCTAGTATTTTTCTTTTCTTCCAAAAAAATGTCAAAAAGTTTCGTCCAATTATGAGAACTTCTATTTCTGCACAAAAAACAACACCACAGTAGTTCTGCTGAAAACAGCATCAGTCCGGGTTAGTTCCATTCAAATCATACCAAAACCATATAAACTTGTTGTAAACACGGTATGGATACTTCATAAATTAGAGATACGTTGGAGACGTATCAACATCCCCAAGCTTAATTCGTATTCGTCCTCGAGTAGGTAAATGATAAAAGAAATAATTTATGAATTGTGAATGCTAGCATAGTGCATAAGTTTGATCAATGATAATTTCAATCACTTTTCCTAGCATCATAACATCAACTCTTTCTCATAAAACTCATCATGATAAAGTAGCAATCAATTCACATGTTACGGTTCAAACAATGCCTTCTCTTGAAACTTAACAACCTATGTTCTTAGTCACCAAACAATTGCAATTCAACTTATTCAACAAAGTCTAAGTAAGAGCTCCACATACTCAATCATCATATAGTCTTCTATAATTGCTAGTACTCAAAGCGTATTTTTAGAACAAATGGCATCCATCGAACACGGAGAAAAATAGAGGCTTAATGTTTCGCCTCCCAACTCATTTATCATAGAGATAATTGTCAACAATAATAAATCATGATCTTTCCCCACCACATGATGCTTGCCAACTAGAGAATAATTGAGGTTGAAATGAGAATGCATACTATTGACTCTCATGAAAAAAAGCATCATAAATCACATGGCAAGCACACTTAAGCCTAACCCACTTCCTATGCATAGGGATTTTGTGAGCAAATAATTTATGGGAGCAAGAATCAACTAGCATAGGAAGGCAAAACAAGCAAAACTTCAAGATTTTCAACATGAAAAGAGGAAACTTGTTATTATTGAGATATGTCAAAGCATATGTTCCTTTCTCATAATAATTTTTATTAGTATCATGAATGAATTCAACAATATAGCTATAACATAAAGCATTCTTTTCACGATCCGCAAGCATAGAAATTTTATTACTCTCCACATAAGCAAATTTATTCTCATGAATAGTAGTGGGAGCAAATTCAACGCAATAACTATCATGTGATAGTTGATTGGCATAATCCAATTGAAAATTAAAATCATGATGACAAGTTTCATAGTTATCATTAATCTTTACTAGCACATATGCATGTGCATTGCAACGAAAAAAATTGATGTTTTGTGTCAACATAATATCCCGAAGCACCGGATTCACTATGAAGAACATGCTGCAATGCAGCATCCTTCTACAAAATGAACATAAAAAAGTACGTTGCAGTTTAGCCATGTTCATATTTATTTGCCGGGCATAATCTCCCACTGATTCCATTTAAGTATAATCCTTTTAATGGCATTTAAGTATAATCCTTTCATTAATTACCATTACTTTCTCACCTGTTTTAGTCGGGAATCAAATCCTTCCTTTTCTAATTTAGTATCCCCAATACATTGAAGTCTACATATCCTTCCTTTTAATTATCCTACCTTTTTACCCCAAATCCTTCATGTATAATTTATTAAGATCACAATCTTTCTTTTAGTTATTCCACCGGTTTACCCATAATCCTTTCTTTAATTATGATTAAATATTCTATTTAAGCCCACAATCCTTCCTTTATTAGTTCATTCGCTTAATTAGCTCGCCCTAAACATGATGACTGCCACTCGTATATTTAGAGCGAGTTGGGATTAGTAAATGTGAATGATGCATAGTGTCGGGGGTTGGATACGACATATGCCAAAGGATGGCTTATCATGGTGGGAGCGAGTAGAACGTCGCCGGTGCCTGGAAGCGGGATGAGGCGAAGACATGCACGCCGGCGGAACTTACCCAGCTTCGGGGCTCTCCTAGGAGATAACACCCCTACTGCTGCTCTGCGGGGTCTCCGCATGATCACTAAAGCAAGGTAACTACAATGGTGCTCCTGGAGCTGTTTCTGGAGGTAGAAGAGGGCAAGGCTAGCTCTCTCCTCCCTGGGCTATCTGGTCTGTCTTCCTCTCTAGGGTCGAACCCTTTGCATGGGTGCCCCGGGGGGTTTATATAGGCCTACCCCCTAGGGGTACAATAGTAATCCGGCTAGGCGCGGGTCCCAGCCGTCTGTCTCTCAGGCCGCCGTCCTTCCCGCCGGCTTCTGGGGCCCGCCGACTGGCGGGTCCCGCGGACAGGCTTGATACTGTAGCGGCACTCCTGATGACGTAGGCTCGGTCATCGGGTCGTGGCAACAGTGCCGCCGTCTATCGGGCGATCACTGTCGCCATTCCCCATCTTATCTGATTAATGGCTCGTGGGGCC